AAAACTGAGGTCTTGACTCTCTGTGGTCATTAAAAATCCCAGGGTGTTTCCCGAAAAGAGTAGGGGTCTAACCCCAGCGTCCTGGCCAAATTTCCTATGCCTCCTAATAATCCTCCTCTATGAATTGGCTACTTTGTTCTCCTCCCCCCCAACTTCGACGGCAGGCGGAGCGATGCGCCGGTTTGAGTATGTATTCTTGGTCGCATTTAATGGCAACGTCAGCTCAAAGATTTCGTTCAAACCACCAAATGGAGACAGGCGTGCCGACAAGCGGACCCTGCTGATGCGAGATTAACGCTAGGATGAGAGATAGAGGAAGCTGCCCATCCATGTTGTAGGAGTCAAATCAAAGAGGCCTCTTGTCATGGCCTCTTCTCATTTGTAAAGTAAGGACTTCTTAAATAAAACTAGAGGACAGGATTTAAATAGGGATATGATTTGATAAGCTGCCATGACTGACAGAGGCTGAGGGATCAAGCAGAGTAGGACCCTGTAGAGAATGGAGGTCAGCCTTCAGACAGTGCTTCAACTCAGACGGCGAATAAGATGTTGAAAAGACAGTAAAAAAAAAAGAATGGGGTTGGATTGTCGGCAAAATTAAGTGGCATTGGGTGTGCTTTTATTGCCATTAGCTTGCATTTGATTTGGTGCTTTTTGCATGTTTTCCTGCTAAGGAAAAATACATTCTGTTACCGGGGAACGTCATTCCTTTCAAATGTCTTGGACATGATGGAAAGCTGGGAAATGCAGCACAAAAAAATTGCACTGAGAGAAGGAGGGGGTTGGGGTGATTTAAAGGCTGGGAGAAAGATTCCTCTGTGACTGAATGGACCATAAATCACCTTTCTGCTTGCTTTGCAAGCTGTGCCTCACCACATAACCTGCCACTGACACCAGCTATTGTCAGAAGTCTTCAGTATCAGTAATGCTCTGTCTGTGCTGCGTACACTCCTTCCAAACAACAAACACTTTAGTTTAGGGTAGGACACAACAAAAAATGCGTAATAACCTAGTCATACCAAAACACAGTTATAATAGACTGCATCGTCATGCCACATGGAAAGCCCCTACACAACCTCCAGAGAGTCATTTATATGGTCGGTGAGTCTTACCTTTTCCTGAACAAAATCCAAAATGTTCTTGAAGTCCAGGTCGTCATAGTAGTGCTTGATGCCTTCTCGAATGCTGTTCTGGAAGATAGTGGAGGTCTGGGCAAAAGACAGAAGACACTTGTTTAAGCCATAGGGTAAATGCTGGAAAACCCTAGTTTTTCCTATCTAGGAGAGACACTTTAATAATCGGTCTGGTGTGATTAGTTCTGGGAAAAAAAATAAATTGAATTGTAGTCTGGGTCGCTCGCACTAGAGTACTGAAAAATATGCGTTTTTTGCATTAAAGTACAAGAAAAATATTTCTGTAAAACTACAAAAGGTGATTTTTAGGCTTAACTCCAGGGGTAACAATAAGTTCCTTTACGATGTAGATAAAAATCTACGATTAATCACCAAAGGCATAGCATAACATGACACCCAGGGAGCATGACACTTTTGATGACTTCATCAAGAATTCCTGAAGTTAAAAGAATCATTACAGTAGACATCACTCACTGATATGCATTACCACCATGAACTAATGGATGAAAACATTTATATAAAAAATTAGTCTCACTCCCACTCCAGATTATGTTTAATGTACCTCCTGGCATCACAAGAATCAGCTGCTCTTTTCACTTAAAAACAGCAGCAAAAAGACTGGAAAAGCCTTTACACAACTACTCAGAAGGATTGAAAGAGATCATACTGCCAGGGTTTATATATCCTCTCTCCAACACTAACACACAAAGAAGTGGAAATTAGCTTTTTTGATAATGAAATAAGCCATCTATATAGCTTTATGTATACACAGAGCCATGCCATTTTAAAACTAAAATTAAGAGCTAACATTAATGGGAACAACACCAAGCATAAACTGGAGCAGGCACCAACCTGTCTGCAGTTAAACCATGTGCCTCAGGGAATGCCTCTTGCCCAAACCGTGGAGGCCTGGAATGCAATCATAACGACTCTAACATTTTGCTTCTTTTTTGGGGGGGTAGGGTTGCTCATTTTAATAGTGTAGTGCCCTGTGCCTTTTTACTGAGTTATCTTTAAAACAAAATTAAAACTCGTTCTGTCTTCTTTTTTCTACTGCCTGTTTAAAATACTATTTTGCTGAAGTGAAATACTCCCTTCACCACCACACCTCCCTTCACCAGAAGTTAGGCTTTTGATGATCTTGACTTTTAAAGAACAGCTGCTAACCAGGTGTTGTACAGTCCTGACAATGGGAATAGAGGCAAGATGTACAGTACTTCAAACATTCCCCCTTCTAGCATTGAAATGAAGATAGAATACAAATGTTCAGGAACTGTATCAGAATATCAGATAGGCAGAGACTGTTTTAGATGAAAGCACTGCAAAGAATAATTTCATTTTTGACTTCTTCTTCAAAGGGGGCGAGACTTTATTAGCACCTAAGCATTTTTTCAGATCAACAGCAGAGCAAGTCAGAAGAATAAAGCCAAATCACTGCTGCAGCTGCCTGATGTAATTTGGGAAGACTGTGGGATAACGAGATTTGGCGTAGCCTTTGGGGCTACAGTAGCACTTGCTGAACATGGAGCACTTGACAGAACATTTTATTTTCAGTTAGTCGAGAGCCAATGAAGAATTCCGGAGTTCTAACACTGGCAGATGTGTTCCCGAGCTCTAAATGAGCACTGGATATTGTCGTACTGTAGCACAGAACAGGGTGTTCTAGAGTGTTCAAGCAAAGGAACGAGCTGAGCACAGTGTACCGGTGAGCAACAGCAGGAAAACTGTTATGACATGACAGATGCAGGTCTAGTTTTTCGGCACAGGCCGGGACTGAAGGCAAAGTCATGACCTTACCTTCTTGCTGAAGATGAGGGCTGTGATGAGCCCTACGGCCTGCAGGGCCAAAAGCACACTGAGAACACACAGGAACTGTGGGAAGAGAAACACGCGCTGGTCAGCACAGAGAGGGGCCTTCAGGCTGCTGCCAAAAAAAAACAATCACAGCACACTCTCTTCACAGAACCTGTACAGTATCCGCAATGGAGGCCACCTGCTGAATAGTCAGACGTGACTTTCATTTCATTTGTTTTAAAGATTACTGGGGCAATTTAAAAAGCAAATTAGGGCCACCAAGGAACCAAACATTAACAAGCATTACTTACATCGCAGTTTGACCTTGGTTTTCAAAACCAATGTCACAGTTCCAAACCATTTGCCATATGGTGTTTTGAAACGCATAGAATAGGTTATTTCAAAATTAATTGAAACCGAGCTCCAGAACACACATTGAGAAAGCAAACAGGGCAACTAAGACATAATCAATGTTCTACATAGCATATTTACATGAGTGTACAAAAGGCTTTAGCACAAAAAATTACAGCTCTGTATGGATCATAGGAAAGGTTAGAGGAGAGGAGGCCAGCTGATTAATCGGAGGATCTCATTCTGCCAGGAGACAGTTTTCCCTGAAGTGTTTTCTTATATCCTCTGGTTCGTCTTTCACTGATGGTTCTGAACAAACCCATTGGGTTGTCTATGTAGATCCATAGGATCCATTCAGGAGTCAGTTCTTTCAGCTGATCAGAGTATCACTTTCCTTTAAGCCTAGGAATGTGACCCATTGAAGCTCAATTCCATTCTTGAAGCTCCAGGTCTCCTATTTTAAAGTGTTTTTCCCAACTGCCTGTAACTTTCTATGCTTGACTACATGAATTGTGTCCAAATACTGTATATCTGAATATCTTTTGCAGCATTGTCAGTGTCTGCTAATCCACTCATTTTGGTATCATTATCGAACTTAAAATAGTTTAAAATACCAGAATCTAGATATATTAGGAAGAGCAGGGTTCCTAATAAAGATCCTTGGGGTACTCCTCTAATGACATCACCATTCTGATCAGTAATCACAGAGCCCAGCAAAACAGCACTGCAAAGAGAACCATAGCACCAACTCAGACATGCTTTTTCTAGTTGTTCCAGTTGTACTGTTCTTCTGAATAGGAGTTTAAGTTTTAAAGCCATTAACCGTTGTAAAAACACCTAGATTGGGCTGCTTGGCTTAAATAATTATGGAGCAGTCATTGAAAGCATGTAAACTTGCATTTATTAGGCAACTATCCAGACCTGGGGCTATAGACCCCTGACTTAAAATAATGCTGACCTTGGATTCGCATGCAAATTCAAGAACTACCTACTGACTGAGCTGTCTGGAATTTGGAGGATGTGTACATCTGTACTTGGAAAGAATCCATGAAGCCCATTATTCAGTATTCAGTACCATGGCTACCCTCTCTCTACTTCTGCATTACAATAAAATAGAAGGGAATTTCACAGCTGAACTGAAGCTTTAAATTGCAGTGATTACCCATCATGGACTTTCCAAAACTAAGTAGGCTCTATTGCACAGAGGGATTCTGCTCTGATGTAAGGTTTACTGCGGATTACCAAAAGGCTCCCCCCAGGTCATATCAATCAGTTTTACGATCGATCTCTATTTGGAAGTACGTCATTTCCTATAAATTCAAAACAGGTGCGAGATAATAAGACACAAAGCAGCTAAGAGTACAGTATATTACTCTGTGAAGGAAAGTACGTCAGTGTAGAAAATAACTAAAAATGAAGCTGTAAGTGGTTAGCTTGTATCTGAAATCTATACATCATCCACTAATAGGCTTAGTCCCGTGGAATACCATTTCCGACAGTTTGATCCAGCTCAATTTGTCAAACTTCAAACGATTCCTAAGCATGTCCCGTAGGTACAATTGGGATCATTATCAAGGGCAGGAGGCAACAGCCTGACATCAGACATCACATCTGCACTGTTCTCTTCTCAGCACATCACTTATGTCAAAGACACCTCTCGGTTCAATTAACACCCTTCGTGACTGTCCACTGGCAGAGCAAGGAACAAGACTGAGCCTCCAACTTTCACTCCACATCACAGAAGAAGCAAAAGAAGTCATCAAATAAGTGAACAAAACATTCGTTCCTGTAGGTGGCTATAGCAAAACAGTGCTCCTGCCAACACTTTGGATCAGGGTGGGGGTGTGGGGCCTGGTTCTTTCGTACTGATAGGCCCCTAGGCCAGACTGTGCTATTCAGGAGGTCACCTCACACCCTGCAGCCCCTCATGGGACAATCCAAGACAGGGAGAGGAAAAGATGATTCATCGCCCTTCCTCATCAGCAACATGATGGACACCCTCTCATCTCGCAAGCCACTCCTGGCAAGAGTAGACCTTTCTCAACAGGCCCTGCCGACACCGGTCTGACAGGCACATGCTGCCTGCAGGTTATCTGTCTCTCTGAGGCACTCATTCATTAAATTCTGGGCTTAATTCTGCTAATTGCAACCTCGGTGCCCCAACCCCTCAACCCCTGCCTCGTCGGCTCACACACAGGCACACACACTGAATACAGCATCGACCTGACTCCAGCAAATGACTCATCCCCAATCACAGACATGCAAGATGTCAGTGCTGCTTTGCATAAACATTACAGGCCCAAAACAGCAATTATTGTTTCCACTACGCATTCTTTCTGCTGCAATTGCTTTAGTGGTTGCGATATCAAATGCTGCTTAGCATCTGCATGGGCAGAAAGAAGTAAAGAAAGGTGCCTTTTGCGCAAATAAATGTCACACTTGTGATGAATGACGTATAATACAAGAAAACTCTACCTTATTACATACTGCGCTGCACTTAGGTTTACTGTAAAAATGATCTAAAGATTGCATGGCTTTAATTAAAACACGGGTTAGTCTAATTGTAACACACATGTTGTTACATAGTTACGTAACAAATGGAGGTTTTGCAAAAAAAAAGCTTCCAGGACTATGCAATACTCAAGAAAAGCCAAATGCTGTTGTTTGAATCGCTACAGTTGCTGAACAACAACTACATTTTGCGCTGTCTAAATTCTAGGCATTACACTTGTACTATGCAAATTGTTTAGAATGTCTGTTGTCTGCAGGAAAGGCCTATAAAATGACTATTCATGATGATCATTTGATTAATGATGATCCTGAGACTCCAGAATCCACCATTACGTGACTTGTGACACCTTTGAGAACCATCCGAGAAGCGTTTAAAGTTTCAATGCCGAGTGGCAAGGTGCCCTTGAAATGACAGTTTTTTTGTCCTTGTTCACCAACTCTGTGAAGTTGGCCCCCCTACAAACAGCACAAACAATGAAACCCACCGCATTTGTACTAGTTTGTGCCGTTGAAAGTAGCTCCTATGGTCCTTTCGTTCTTGAAATATAGCACCTTTGTTTCGGGGTGTGAAGTCACCCACACCCCCTACAACACCGATAAGAGTCACGTGACCCCCTGCAAAAAGTCGGCACCATATCTCTGGGACAAAAGCACCACCGATACACAAATGGAGCACAAGCCAATGCATCAGGTTGTACTGTTTGTAGAGCTGCCAACTTCACAGTGCTCGCCACAAGGAGCTACAATATTGATTACTTTCCCTTTAGGGCAAGAATGGCGACAGGTAACTTGGTCACTCACCATGTGTAGCAGGGTCTTGTTGTCACGAAGGGACCCCACCATGCCCACCAGAGAGACGCAGAACATGACCAGCCCCAGCAGGATCAGAACCACGGCCGGCGCCAGGAACACACCCTCCAGAGTCCGGTTCTTCTGCCTCTCCACCTCCGCGTAGATCCCTACACAGAGCACGGTCAGGCCCAGGAACTGGGAGGGAGGGAGAGAGGGAGACGGAAGGAGAGTGGAACAGAGGAGGTGAGTGTAATGGAGAAGGAGAGGATGAGAGGAGGAAGGGGAAAAGGCAGATTTAAAGCTATGTCAGTAAAAATGCACATTTTCCAGGATATTTTTGAAATTCTAGAACATTGCCTTCATTACCCAATCGAACCTCTCATGAAAACTCAACATGCAGGGTGTGACTCTCTTTAGCTTTCAAAAAATGACCTTCAAAAGAATTGAGAGAATAAAAATATGGCCAGAACAGTGACACAATGAGAAGTGCTCCTGCCTCAGGTCTCCTGGTCCTGGGTTCGATTCTGAATCATTTGTGTGAAGTTTCCATGTACTCCAACCTGTGTTTTCATTTTTTTCCTGCCTCCAAAATAACATATTGGTTTAGATTAAGTGGTGTCTCAATATTAGATTAACTGTGTGTATGCATCTTATGTTCTGGACCTCCAGAGCACAGAGCTGTCCCATACTGCTCCGTTGCTGTACCTTGTGCTCTGTGTTACTGGGACAGGCTCTGAGCTCCCATAACCCTTAACAACGAGCAACAGTGTTTGGATAAGGAATGGATGGGATAAAATCTCATTAAGAAGAACAGTATTGCAGCACGGCAGTTACAAAAGCTAGCTAGTGATGGTGCAGTGTGATTTCCGCATGAAACACAAAAAATGGGATTGGGGACAATACAGTTTCACTGTGGCGTGAAAAGATAAAACAAGAATTTAATTTCCGGTTAAATGCGCAACATTAATATTTCGAGGGAGGTCTTGAAAACCGGCTGTGGCCAGTTGGCACAGGCTGTATTGAGGTTTCAGAGTAAAGAAAGACTATCAGGGAGAAGAAAAGAATTTCAATAGAACTCTATAGTTCACAAAATAGTGTGTAAATGAGCGAATGGCTCATTAGAATTTTCTAAAAAAAAAATTTATTGATTTTTTTTATTGGAAACATACTGTTACAAATGGGGGGTTAAGAAACTGGTAAAAATCAGCAATTGACCGAGCAGTTTAGTCAATAAGTGAAATAATTATTCATAATCCCCAACTTGTAAGTGATTTCTAACCATATACTTGAGCCTTTGGTATAACTGGAGGCACGTGAATTCGGAGGTTTTACATAAGCTTTAATTTGTGACAGAAAAAGGCAATTTTGGGAGAACAATTAAGAAGACTCACACAAGATGCATCTCTCATGGTGTTCTGAATTCAAGCAGTGTTACAAGGCGTTTTACAGTCCAAATATAGCTCTGGCCTTATGCTGTTGCCATATATGGGTGTTTAGTAGTGACCACTGTATACGCATTATAGAAAAACTTCAGAAAAAACTTTAACACATGGCACAATGGCTATTTCTGATAGTGTTATCCCCCCCCCCCACCTTTCTGCTATTTATGAAATGTCACATAGCTGTATAACATACCTGGGACAGGTCAGACTTCTACAGCGTCCCTACCTGAAAACTTTTTCTGACTACTACATAGTCAGTAGTGTGTTAAGAAAATACTGTGAGTCTGAGGGTGGTCTGAAATATTTCATCTACTGTATATAGCCCCTGAATAAGGGAACTGTCTGAACTAATACTGCAGACCAATTGTTTTCAATCCTGGAGCAGTTTACATTTCAGATGGGCTATTAATCACTGGTGCTAATTAGCACCCATAACTTATCGTCTTGCTTATTTAGACCTTTTCTGTGCTTAGATGCTGGGCTCACAAATACCATAATATACAGTACATTACTTGTAAGGCCTTCAATACAACAACTGCAATTCAGCTTCTCCTTAGTCTGCTGTTGTAAATTGCTCCCTCATTAATAACTGAAAGGTTCTTAGAGTAGAGTAGATGGACTGATGGATGATCACATTTCAGCTGACATCCCTGAATGTAGAATTGTGCCCAGCAGCACAGGAGGAAAGCACAGATGCCCACCAACAAAACAATTTTTGTTAAACCGACTACAGCTGGGATTTATAGTCTGAAAAACAGCTCCAAGGACATAAAGAATCTTCAGCTTTATTTGCTGCAGTTGTATTACCCTCCAAGTATAACCAGGAGAGATTAGGACTTAGCAAACAGCCTCTTAACCTGAAAGTTTTACAATCCAGTGGATCTAATGCAGCACAGGTTTTCTGTGGCCTTTGTACATTGCCTGTTCACCCCTCTTAAAGCTATACTACTTAAGGTAGTGTACAGTAGATGCAGGGATGATCTGCCAGATTCTTCTCTGATCTGACTTCTGACCTTCTCAGGCCAATGTTTTCACAACCAGACACCTTGCACCTGTCACCTGTCGGGGTCACAGTGCTCATTCCTCCTCTGGCAAGTCATACTGTACATGTGTGGCACATAATGTAGTTCCATTTAAACCTCTTCATCCTGCAACACCTCAGGCCTCCTCAAGTGCAAAACTCCAGGGACGCTGGCTTGTTTCCCCTCTTCATAACAACAACCAAGGATCCAATGGCAGATGGATTCGTGTCCCATTCGTCTGTGGTGCAAGACCCAGACGAGTAACACCCAGGGAGGAGAAGAAACGGTTGACAAATCGTGCCTGAATCCACAAAACAGTTGACACCCATGCCCGTCTGCAACTAACAAAACCCCTGAAGATGGATGCTGCGAAGACAGGCCCACAGCAGGTACTGCTCACCCTCACAAAAGAGCCCGGCTAACCTCCTCACATTCCACCCCATTGCCCCACACCCAGAATCACCACGTCCACCGGAGTACACTTCATTCATAGCTCTGTCTACATTCCTCAGCTGCTGCAGGGTCTCTCAAAGTGTGTGTCAGACCCACAAGGCCCAGTGAGCCTGGAGCACTTGGATCTGAAACAAGGTAGGACCTCCATCCAGGGCTCAAGCACAAGCCGTATAGTGACCTTGAATACATTACCACTGCCCTCAGTTATTCTTTTCACACCTTAAATGAAAATATGTGCAGCGCACAGAATCCACAGGCTTTTCCGAGTGACTAAAATATTCACAGTATTGGAAAAGTAATTAAAAAGAGTAGATTTAGTAGTCGATTTGACAGCAAAAAGTTGGGAATTAAAAATAAGGCAGGGTGATTAAATTTAATAAACAGCAAGCAGTAGTAAGTAAAATGAATCACTCGGAAGTTCTAGATTATTCAATTGTACTTTTTTGCCAATGGTGGATTTAATATTTTTGAGTGGTCAAGTGTGAACTTCTCAAGACATTATCTCCAACCCATAGATTTTAATGAACCCAGTTCGATATTTTTCATGAAGACATTACAGTTCGTAATGGTGGGATGCGTGTACACAAACGGAATAAGTTAACAAGGGTAAAGGTATATTTGATCTTTTTAATGCCCACCTGCTGTGTATGTGCTTTCATTGTGTCACTGGACTTTGATCATTCCAAAATTCTGCATTGGAAATTTTAAAATCTGTCATCAGAAATATAAGCACTAACTGCAGAATATCACAGTCTCATCAGAATTCAGTGTAGGGAGACACGCTGGAAGCAACAACGCTCAGAGAAAACCTGGCTGAAGGCAAGGGACTCACACAATTGATCTGTAGCAGAACTGCAAAATTGCCAACACGATTTAACACCATGACCTCTTGTAGAGTCAACCTAACCTCGGAATACAAGAATTCTTAGTGTTCATACAAGACAGCCTGCTGATCACCTCCTTATTTACCCCCCTCCTGCTGGTATTTAACCCTTATCTACTTCTACTCACACTGGAAGAGAGCAGTTTGTTTTCCTGTTAGTTTTACCCCAGGTTCTGGGAATGGATTTTGTTAACCAGTTTTAAAATGTTAATTTGGGAGCTCATGCTGCTCGATAGCCGCTGGAGGAATACAAGGAGGGGGTGGGTGGGGGGGATAATTCCCTTTTTCCAGCAGCAAAAAATGGATACAAACCCCCAAAAAACATTTTAAAACTGCATAGCAAAAAAGCACTTATTTAGTACACATGCAGTATATACACATCTCCCCCACTTAGCATTCTCCAGATTGTGACAGATATTCATAAATCAGTTGTCTAGGTTTCTAGATTTTTGACAAGAAAACCTCTATCCTCCAGCCCTTTTTCTTTTCCATTTCCCTGCATTCACTCCTAATTTTTTATCAGCGTGGCCTTAAGTGCCAGGAGGGATCAGGGACAGGCAGGTTGATGGGGAGATCAGATGTAAGAGACATTAGTCGGTCAGACTGCAAATGTAGCCCCTGGCCCCCAGCCCGCTATCTTAACCAAATTAAACAAACCATGGCGTTCTCGAGAAAAGAAAAAAAGGAGAAAAGAAAACTGATTTTGCATTCCGTTACACCTCTGCCCCCATACAAGGATCAAAAGAGTCGACATTAAAAGCATTGCTCTGCAAGAGCTCGCCAGACTTCCCCATCACCCAGTCTCAGCTCCAGCTTGGCACTGTTTTTACCACGGGACATGGTGGGCTCCAGTTCAAGTTAGCTTTTCACACTTTTACTTTCTGCTCTTTCACAGAGCCCACCGCCTCTGGGGTGGCCTGCCCAGGGACTGGACAGCCACAGAGCCCCAGAAGATTTGAATTCTAATCATCAATTTGAAAAGACGTGGGGCAATATCATTAAATAAAATAAAAGCAGATTATTATTTTTTCAATGACATAGTCTATAAATTATTTAAAATGAAAATCGCAAGGCGCCGTGGCGGTCATTGGCCACAGGTGGGCTTTCCCAGCTTAACTGATCCATTTAATTGATAAGCAAAAGGCTCATTGGCCACAGGTGGGCTTTCCTGACTTAATTGATTCATTTAATTGATAAGCAAAAGGCAGGCGCGTTCCAAGTCTCTAGAAAGCGATGATTTCAGGTTGACCTAGAAGACTCCCTGGATTGTGGCACTTCAGGACTAATGCTGGCCACCCCTACACCTAACCCTTCAAGCGAGAGTGAGCACGTCTAGTGCTGGAAACTTGTGGAAAAGATTAGGAAGCGGCCTTGATTGGCACCCAAATATCGGTA